CCCCTCCTTCCCCCCCCGCCATATGTGAGGCCTCCCCCGATTGTATCTCCACCGGTTGTACGGCCTCCTCCGGTGGTTTCTCCGCCAGTTGTGAGACCTCCTCCTGTGGTGAGGCCTCCGCCGGTGACAGTACCTCCGGTGACTCCGCCACCATCTGGAATACTCCCTCCGATCATAAACCCTCCACCAATCACTACACCCCCACCTTCCTCCGGTTACCCACCTTACACCGGTGGACCACCATACGGCGGCGGAGGTGGTGGCGGTGGAGGCGGCGGCGGCGGCGGAGGGCCACCTTCCGGCGGTGGCGGTGGAGGAGGCGGGGGAGTTCAGCCTACGTGTCCGATAGACGCGTTGAAGCTGGGAGCTTGTGTGGATGTTCTTGGGGGATTAATACATATAGGGCTTGGGAATCCAGTGGAGAATGTGTGTTGCCCGGTGTTACAAGGGTTGCTTGAGTTAGAGGCAGCGGTTTGTCTTTGTACGACCATAAGACTTAAGCTCCTTAACCTTAACATTTTCATTCCTCTTGCTCTTCAAGCTCTCATCACATGTGGAATGACTCCTCCTCCTGGTTTTGTCTGTCCTCCTCTCACTTGATCTCAAAAAAAAAGGAATGAGATCACGAGAAAAAAAAAAGGGTTTTGTGGGTTTGAGGTGGTTTTGCGATGATCTCTAATGGGTAATTTGCAAGTTGTTAAATTCCTAGGGTTTTAATTACTGTCATGTCGTTGGTTTTAGTTAGGGTTTTTGCATGGGACTGTGTTGGTGTAATCTTTATTTTGTTTGGTTCCAGTTTCTCGCTGTCAATCTGTTTGACTCTTTTATCTGAATCTGTCCTTTTTTTTAATCTGAATCTGTCTTATCTCTCTCTCTCTCTCTCTCTCTATATATATATATATATATATATATACGTATGTGTATGTGTATGTGCTGAGGAACATGACAAGCATATTACCTGGTCGGATTCGGAAGAGATCTATCTAGTTCTTATCTGGTCATTCCATTATATACAGGCAAAATCATACGTAAATCAATACATGTGTTTTGTGTCTGTATGTGTGTAGAGATCAACATGGTGCAAATGCTAAACCCTATATCTAACAATAAAAACAGGTTACTAAAAGTTTCGAACGTAAAAAAAAAAAAAATAGCATGCGGGGTTGTAGGAGAAAGCGAATATAAAGTAACGATCGTTAGGGTTCAATTCATAAATAGTTTATGTTTGCTAAACTCCTATGTGATACTTTAACAAAAAATAAAAACCTCCTATGTGATACTTTGTCTCGTATAAAAACAACCACTACCATTAAAAAAAAACAAGAGGAACGTCGTAATTTCGATTTATATAAATGAAGAATAAAGGAAATTTTGGTTTGATATTTATGACTATTTTCCGAATTTGTAACCAAATACATCAATATATATGAGATTTTATAGACATATAAAATTTAAAATTTTAAAATTAAATATAAGAAATCGATTTTTTCCCAAGATATCTCACGTTACACATCATCTCATATATATTATATATATATATATATATATACATATATATACTGTTTTTGTTACGTGAGGAAATTTTGAAAATATTCAATTTCATATAATTTTTTTTTATAAATTCTAAAGCTGTTGATTGGATATTTAGGTGTTTTCATGTTTTTATTTGACAATTTCATATGAGTTAATTATTAAGACAGTTATTAAAAAGGATATAAGGTAAAATTCTTTGACTACAGCATACATCAAAAATCTAAATTACGCAAATTATCGAAAAAAATTCAACTCTCTCAAAAAAATGACAAAAATATCAATTTTAGATTGATCAAACTTTCAAAAATTTGAAAAGTATTAGTTATTCTTATTTGGCACATTCATCATATTCAAAAGACTTGTGTTTTGCACTAATAAAAAGTCATAGGATAGAGATTTTGAAACAATACCATCATTTTGATTGGCTACAAATTTAACTTCTAATTTTAAAAATCGGAATATATTAGATCTAATATAATTTTCTCACAAGTTAGGAGAATTTTTGTCAAACATTTCATTCGGCTGTCCAAATCATTTTGACTAGGTATACGCGAAAAATATATTCTAATTATACGAATTGCATGACGGAGAATGCTTTCACATACAAAATTTCTTTCAACACAAATATTTTCAAACAAAAAAAAAAATAGTAAACCTAAAATGATGAATTAATTTTTTTATACACGTACGTAAGGTAAAGAAAAGAACAAAAAATGGTTCACGGGCTGAATTTTGATACATGAAAATTTAATTGCTGGCTAGGGACCATCCAACTCAGAAATGACACCAAATACATCTTGACAAGAAAATCACAATGTCATCTTTTTAGCATATATAATTTAAAGATTATATCAATTTTCTTAAATATTTTAATTTAATAAAATATACTCTCTTTTTTTTTTCCGGAAGAAAACGACATAATGAATTTTGAGTGGTGTATAATAAACTTTGAATGCTAGAGAGCTCATTTGAATTTGAAGATTCTAACTACTAAAGTAAAGTAATGTTATAATAGAAAACATCTCTAACATTTCTTAAATTAATGTATAAGTATAATTTAATCAAACATTTAAAATTATAATTTTTTAAAAGATCGCACGCGACAATATTATCTATATTGTTTTAGTATTATTATATCGTCGACTATATATATATATGTTATTTCTGTCGTAGTTGTTCACATAAATATAAATCCATCTTTTGAATATTTATATAAAAATCCGCTTTGTACAAAAACTTCAAGTTCTTTTTTTTTATTAGCAGAAGTTACATTTTATGAAATAAACGTATCAAGTAGCTAGGCTAAAATCAATAAAATACAGATTTAAATGTGATTTAATCGTTACTAATTTAAAATAGCTAAGTTTATGTGAACCAGAAAAGATAATGGGGTCTATATATACGTTGGAGTGTTAAAAAAATACGTATATTTGAAATATCGATCTTAAAAGAAAAATTCTGAATTTTCCTTAAATTTAAACCACAGTGTTCTTCTAATGTAGATTTTCGATTGGTTGTGATCCATACGGTTGATCATATATTGGTATGATGCCATGTACGGCCATTCCATCTTTCAAGTTTTCTTGTCCTTAGTTGCATCATTTAAGACTTTGCTGTTATGTTTTCGTTTACTTTTTAGCTAGAAGGTAATTGTATTACTATATGGCTATGGAAACAAAAACGGCAGCGTTTCATTTGGGTTTCTACAACGTTGAAATTGTTAAACAAACAAGTTAATCACAATTGATATCAAGATTGGAAAAAGCTTTCAAATACGTGGACGATATATCTAAATGTCATTTGTTTTGTTTATAAATACGTGTCTAAACGTATTTCGAGAGTGAGTGTGGATATATATATATAGGTATAGATATATATAGATAATGCAATTTTTCATTACAATGCATGTGCTGTCGGACCATACTTGGTTCGGAATCTTTCAGCTTTATCATTGTATGTAGTGGCGACTGTTATTTAACGTCGAAATAGAAACAAGAATGACATCTCTCTCTCTCTCTCTCTCTCTCTCTCTCTCTCTCTCTCTCTCTCTCTCTGATCTTCAATTCACACTCCCGTATATATATATATATATATATATATATATGAGGAGAAAAATATTTTTATGACTGCGTGAGTTAAAATGTGTCTTTCACCAAATTCACCATTCACGGGTTGAGTTTTTCTGTACTATATTCAATATTAATGAGATGGGCACTTCAAATGTTCGTCACTCTCATTCTCATATCACCTTTATCTTCAAATCACAACGTACATTGCATATGCATGTGTTAGTGTCGGCGACTCGCATTCCGTTCGATCTGGATTTGACGAGTTTGCCATATAATCCAAAAGGTACAAAGTCGAGAGATCTTGGACTGATATACGTATTTATTGTAATTCTTGGTTTTGTAATACTCCCTCCACCTCTTTCTGTATATACCATCACTAATCTTGACGTACGACTTCGCATATATATATATATATGTGTGTGTGTGTGTGTTGGTTAAGCTTATTCCGCATGTATTATTTGATATGTGACATGCATATACATAGCATGTACTATAATTCCTAGGCATGAAGCCAATGGACATAAGGACAAAATTTTAAAGAGATGATTGAGACTTCTTGTCCGACGTCCGACCAAAGTGTGCGAGACAGAGTGTCATTGGGAGAGATCTCTTTTCCTCCGTAGATTTTTTTAATTTTTCGTGGACCAAATTTATCCGTTCCCTTGCAAATACTATTGGCTGAGCAATTTTTCATTGATTCCTCACGGAAAAGTTAAAAATTTGACACTTTATTTACATAAATATCTAGCTAGGTAAATCGGCTATATATAGACCCTTAATTCTCAATTATTTTTCTTTTCCTTTCATCATTGAGGTTTACTCACAAATCTTGCACATATATATACACATACAAACTATCCATTGTATTATTAATTTGGATTTTTAGCATTGGAGACAATATTCAGCGTATATAATCTAGAGTTTAATTAAAACATGGTTGTCTAAACAGATTCTTAATTAGTATATCATAATGAGAAAAACTTGATCAGTAGATTGTCGGATGGGGTCGGGAACAGAGTAATGGATTTGTAGCCAAATCTTTGTATGATTAAAGAATATAAACACACTCATATTCATATATAGTACCACTAAAATAAGACATCATAAAGAAACCAAATGTATTATTACATCATTTATTAAACACCCCAAAACATCAACATCCCCCAATGAGAGTTCTAAGTAAAGTAAAGAAACTGAACTTTCGAATCGAAAAGGGTCACAAAGACACATAATTAGACTCCGAAAACGTATTTAGACACCACAACTGGAAGATTTGAAAAGAGAACAAACAAGAACAGAAGTAGAAAAAAAAACAGGACATCACATATAGAATCTAACACCTTGATCCCTTTATTCCCACACACGCCCACACATAGGTATATATATATATATAATATATATATATATATAGAACGTAAACTCTGTGTGTGTATTTTCATACATATATGTATATATATATATGAACTTATTCGCACTGGAAACCAGAAGGAACCTTCTTGCTACAAACGTTGAGAAGCAAGCTCAGAGAAATCGGGAGGTTCAAGTTGATTCCGAGGATGTTGGCCTTAAGGGCAGTGCAGAGACAGACAGCGGCTTCAACATCAGCCAGCCCTTGGATAAGGCTACAGCATGGCGTGACCGGTGGCTGGCCGAGTTGCAAGTTGAGGAGACCGTTGAGCACGTTGGCGCAGACACCGAGTTTCAGGGTGTCCTTAGGGCACTTAGCCACTGCAGGGCTAGGGTTAGGGTTTGGCCTTGGCTTTGGCTTGGGAGAGGGGCAACCACCGCCACAAGGGCTGCAGGTGTTGCAAGCTGAGGTTAGAGTGAAGAAGAGGAGGTTGAGGAGGAGGAAAATGGCTAAGGAGATTTTGGTTTTTGAAGCCATTTTTTTATACACTTTTTTTTTTTTTGAAGAGAGAGACCTCAAGAGAACAACTATATTCTCTATTGGTTTTTGTGTATTGGGATGAGGAGAAGTTGGGATCCTTGAGGAGGGTTTTATAGGCCGAGACGGTTCATTGGGTTATGTGGGCAACCTTTTTTTTGTATTATAAAAATATGTATATGATTGATCCATATTATATTTTCTTATTGATTTGTACTATATTCTTGGATTGTTTAAATGGTTGTGTACATATTGAGATGTTGTCTTTTCTGAATTGTATAATGCAATTAATTCGTACACGAATATATAAATGTTCTGAGAGTGAAACTGTAATTCGTAATTACGCGAAGAAATTAATTCGTACACCAAGAACTTGTAATTCCATCAATTAGTAACTAATAAGCTTTTGAATTCACTAACAAAAATTGCGTGATATTTTCTAGCGCTTAATGATCTTTTTTTATATTTTTTAAGATCTTGTTTGATTTCTCTTTTATTTCTTCATTTTTCATCGAAAGTTTTTTTAATTAATTTCACAAAAAAAATGCTTTTAAATTTTTTTTATCTTTCTCTTTCTTTTTTCCCTTTCTTCTTTCTCCTTAAATTAGAGTATAAAAATAAATACAATGAAATGTCTATATTTTTATAACAAAATATAGATGATGATATAAAGAGTGTGTGTATATATACAAGAATACAATTTTTAATAATAAATAATGGAGGGAAGAATTTTTTTTATAAACACAAGGTTAGAGGTAGGCACAGATCGAATATTCGGGATTTTTGAGATATCTGTATCCGTATCCGATCCATACAAATATTCGATTTTGTTATCCGTACCCGATCCATAATTTTTGGATATCCGTAACTTCGGATATTCGTAAAAATCACGGATATTTGTGGATATCCGTATTCGATCTAAAACATTATAAAATTTCAAATTTAAATTAAATAACAAACTCAAATGTAAATAAAATATATAATCTATTTAAGATAAATGATATTCACAATTTAAAATTTATAATTTAAGCATTCCAAATCAACTCAAATACAAATACAATCATAATCTATCACATACAAATATATTCAAAATTCAAAATTCAAAATATTAAACATAATAAATCTTAATATTCAAAAGATTAAACATTATAAACCTCAATATATATAAAACTTTTCTTCAATCACTCTAAAAAACGTGTAAATATTAAGTATTTTAAATTTCTATACCAAATTATTCTTATATTTAATAATATTAGTATAAAGTACGGATCAGATCGGATTTTTCAGATATTTTATCCATCCTATAGAGTGTAATGGTAAAACATTCGAGGAAGGAATCCATGTGACCTTTGGGATATTTTAGCTGGCAATTGGTCGATATATTTTATAAAAAATATTTGTGATTTTTTAAAATACCCCAAACACTATGTCTTTTATTACGTATTTCTTATATAAAATACTAATTTATTTTCACTTATTTTATTACAAATCTAATAAATCAGACCAATTAATTGCATTTTATCTTAAATTTTTTAGACACTAAATTATGTATTGTTTTTCATTGGTTGATACATATTTTATGGAATGTGACAAATTAAAGTTTATTTAATTAATGTGTGTATTTATTACATATGATAAATATTTATTTGAATATAAAACAAAGTATTATTATTTAAAAAATCTAAAAATGTAATAAATATAAAATAATTTTAATAGATTCTATAATTTAAATGATTTATTGTTAATTTTGATTAATACAAAAATTGATATTTTATATACTTTTGAGTTATTCAAGCTGCGAATCAAATAAGTTTTAGTAATTTATAGGACCATAGATTTTGGATTGAGGAGTTGATTATAGAGTTTTGTGGTATGAAAAGAATTGGATTTAGATTAAGCCTCCATTTCAATAAGACACAATCCAACTGGTTTTCAGAATATAATGATTACACTCGTAAACGCGTAATTTTTATGTCACTATCAAATTGTTAAACTTGATGTGTATGAACGGGGGCAACGGGCTTGAAAACGAACCAATGTCAATTGTATAAAACAAACAAATTTATATAATTAATCGGCAATCAAATAATTATTTTGATGGTGAAAATTCAAACAAATTGCTCTGAAATTCAGGCCCATCCATCTTCCCAAGAAAAATAAAATAATATGTCAAAATCCAACCGACATGTATTAGATTCACAACCATGTCTTCTTGTAAATCTCATCTCACTAGTGTCTCTCTTCCAACTCAAGGTCGAAGCAACCATTGCTTATTATTTTAATTCTTTTTCGTGATAACAAGTATTTTCTTATAATATATATATATATATATATATATAGTAGCTCTTTCTTGTTCATGAACGTCAATATATATATATATATAGAATAGTGTGAATTATTGCCTCACGATGTCGTCAGTATGAAGCTGTATTGCGTGTCTGACCTGCCAAATACAATGGGGCTTGCTGAGGCTTCACATAAAACTAGTGTACCAAAAATTTTCAAGAAATATTATGGAGAAATTTTGTCACTGCTTCTTATTTTCCTAAAGTTAATATTATTATAATTTACTAAACCATTATGGTGATTTACTTGTCATGCAGATTTTATAAAAATAGATATCTAAAAAAATTTATAAATATTTTTTTTTTTTTTTTTGGTATGAAAAAAAATTTATAAATATTTGGTGTTATCTTTAATTTATTTATGTACTTTGAGACTCTCTGCTCCTTATTTTCCTAGAGTCCATATTATTATAATTTATCTAAACCATTATGGTGATTTACTTATCATGCAGATTTTATAAAAATAGATATGTAAAAAAATTATAAATATTTGGTGTTATAGTCATGTATTTATTTATTATTTGGTTATGAATAAATCATCATATTATTCCGCAAATCTTAGCATTTTTTTAGTATAAATTAAATTCCTAGCAAATATAAGTACCTTAGTGGTTTCTTGCTTGCCAAAAATTCTTCGATATTATCATTACAAAAGTAAATCTTTAACGAAACTTAGGTATATGAACACTCATTAGTTGGAACAGGTACGGATTTTCGGTTGGTCCATTGGACATCATCCAATATAATTCTTAAGGGTACTTGATATTTCAATAATCGTATCACTTCTTAGATTTTGCCATCTTACAATACTCTTTCTTACTATTGTACATTGTTTTTGTAATTAGAACTTCTTTTTTTGTAACGATCTACCATATCCAAAAAATCTCTAACCTTAGCTATTTGGATAGAAAAAATATCATATGTTAAGATATGTTATTTTCGTTGAAAGAATTATCCATCCATTTTGGAAGAATTATCATCGTATTATATCACCATTAATTGGATTATTTTATTATATAATAATACTGAAATTTAACGTCAAACCTATATGTTACACATTTAGGATGGGCATGCGAAAGGTGGGATGGAAGCCATGCCCACGCCATTCCTTATGTATCGTAAACGCAAAAGCCGATTACTCGCAAGAGTAATAAACTTTCTATGGGATGCATAACCATTTATGGGATTTTGATAGTGATAACGTTCATTCTATTGTTTCCTTCACCAAAATGAACAATATAAGATTTACATAATGGATGAGCCACCAATATATCAATTTAAATAATATATATATATATATATATAACAGATTTGTGTTGGGGTAACATTTGAAAATTTTTGTACACAAATTTCATGGGGGAGGTTTTTTTCATTAAAATGATTTTATGTGGTAAGCTTTTACGTATGTATTTTAGCCCCCAAAGAAAAAAAAAGTAAAAGGAAAAGACAGGAATGCTTATTTACGAATATTTGTGTGAACATACAATATATACAGAGACATTATCCAAGTGTCCTAAATGAAGAAAGATTTAGATAATACGTGTACATGCATTTTCTAAAGCTATGAGCTCCTATGCAGTCTTTCTTGACCAATTTAGATTTTTAACAGGTTACACATCACATGTTAATTACACAGCATTTCTAAAATTATTAGCGATATCTTCTATCCTTAATTGATGATATTATCTATTTTAATGGCCGATTTTGTTATGTTGATATAAATATATTTTAACCTAGTAATATTTGCAATTTAATCGATTTTTATAATATTATAAATTAAAAGAAAGCTATAATATTTATTTAAATCTATAATAACAATAATAATAATAAATATGGTATGAGAATTTTTATAATATTATAAATTAAAAGAAAGCTACAATATTTATTTAAATCTATAATAATAATAATAATGAATATGGTATGAGAAACGACATCTAAAAATGGAGAGAGATAAAATCTAGAGAGAATTTCATTGATGAAAATGAATGCGATAGTTTGTTTCTGTACAGTCAGACTCTTTTATATATAAACAGTTAATATGCCATGAGTTGTGTTTATATTTATTATTCAGTATAATTTACGAGTAAAATGAATTTTGGTAGTCGATTATTCGTTTGTGTTGATAATAGAAAGTGTAGAATTTGAATGGTGGATTATATTAGTCAAGCTGTATAGTAAAAGGATGTTAAGCTTAAATGATTATATTTTAAATACATATTTAATAAACATGAAGTGTTGGTGTATGGTATTGTTAATTGAAATCCATGAAAGTTCTATAAAAAGAACATTTGATTGAAATATTTTCTTCTTATTGGGGAGTAGATGTTAGTGTCATAATGAAAATTTTAATGTAAAAGTAATAGTAATTTATTATGCAAGAAATATTTTGTGATAGATAAACAACTTTTGAGGTTTGATAAGTTTAACATGTGACTATAAAAAAAATACAAGGTTAACAATTTGCTAAATCTCTTGAATTGAAAATGGGTATAAATATGTTATGCGATTTCAAATGTGTGTGTATATATATATAGTTATATATTTGATGATTCATGATTGTTTGATAATGTTGGACTAATGTTGTGTGTTCCAACTCTTATGAAAATTGTTTCCAAATTTTGATGTTGTGTTTCAAATCCGATGAGTAAGAACTTTGGATTGATGCTTTATGTTCCAGTTCCGATAATTTGTGAATTGACGGACAAGAGGGGTTTCATCACGTTTTGACCCATCATCTCGTGATAAATCCCA